GACGGTGTAACGCGGAAAGGATTAATACACCGCGGAGGGGACGCGGTCTAATACGGGATCCGCGTTGCCTGTACTGTAGGTCAGTTGGTAGAGTACCTGACTAGGGATGCAGGTTCGATTCCAGTTATCCATTTCCTCTTTACCCATTACAGATAAGCAGATGTCTCTGTCGAGATTGTAACTCGACTGGTTTGTACTCAAACAAAGTAAGAAGTAGCAGTTCAGAATTTGGACTCGAATCTTTACATCAGCAATAAACAAATAATGATCCTTGATTAAGTCTCTTTTTTTGTGGCAAGACTGCAAGTAAGACTACAACGGTGCAATTAGCTTTAAATAAAATTTAACAGAATTTTCAATTTTAGTTACATGTACCATGCATGGCAACATCATTCATCAAAATAAAGAAAACAATAAAGACAACTAGATGCTGTCATGAGACAGTAATACCCGCACTAAGGTGTTTGCCTCTAAATACACGCTCCTACATATTGGGCGGCTTTCCAAGGAAAAAGTCAAAATAATTCTATAATTTACATGTATTCATCAAATTGAATATGAAATTCTCAGACCCTGTGACCTATAACTCAGAACCTCTTATATCTATTTTATACATGCTTAATTCATTATATACCAGTCTGAATTCTATTAATGATGTAAATTCATGCGCGCATCTGTCGGGGGGGGGGGGGGGGTCAGGACCCCCCCTGGAATTTACAAGGTTAAAAAATGTATATACTAAAACAAGGAAAAAGTTACAATGGACCCCCCTTGGAAAACGCAGACCCCCCTGGTAAACACGAATATGTGTAAAATGGGTATGAAAAGTTAAAGATTTGAGGCAATAGAAGTCACTACCCCCCCCCCCCCCCACGATATTTACACATTTTTTACTTTAGGTTTTTTTTTTGGTTGTCAAGAAATTTCTGGGATCGGATTTTTTTTTGACTGAGGTGGACCCCCCCCCCCCCTGGAAAAAATTTCTGGATCCGCGCCTGAAATTAGATTTTGATATATGTTCTGCTCATAATAGGACCTTTTTAAATTTACTAATCCCCCCCCCCCCACTCGACACCACAATCACACAGCACATACTTTTTGGAATAGGCTAGATGGAAAAGGTTTGTTAAAATTTAATATCGTTTGTTATGAATTAATTTAAAATTTGTTCTTGTACTATACGTGTTAACATGTAAATTTCTACATCACATCACGTTGCGTCACCCATTATCATATTTATAGACTAAACACCATTTGGCACACCTCGGCAGATTCCCACTTCATCTGATAAGGTGACGGAATCGACGAAGGTTCGCCGAATGGAATTAGCACATGGCTGCAGTCTGGTGTGCATAGGATTAATTCATTTTGTGTTATAATTGGATTTATATTTCATGAAGTTGACGAGACACAGGCAGTCGGTAAGTAGAAGTTTAAGTATAGTGGGGGGTAAAATACACCCAAACGATTAGGTTAAAGTTCAAAAAGGGTCAAAGATCATCGCATGCCACACTAGACGAATTTCATATTGTGAAGTTATCTCCCGTTGTCAATGTGACATTCAGTTACTGAACTTACTGCCAATACTGGTGCGGATCCAGAATTTTTTTTCGGGAATAGGGAGGGGGGTTCACATCTCAGTCAAAAAATTCCAGCCCAGAATTTCCTGACAAGCAGGAGGAAAAAAACTGAAAACAAATAAACAAATAAAAAACAATGATAGTGAGGTCAATGTTTTCTAAGTTAGGGGGAGGATGTCCAAAGTCATTTTTTATTTGCTTCAGTATATAGTCTTGTTTAAATAACAAAGCAAATTCCAGATGGGGGGGGGGGGATGGGGGGATTCCAATCTCCCTACCAACTTCCTGTCCCTGAAATAACAATCTATTTTGTGATTCCAATTAAATAGTATATTTTTTTCCATTTGACTAATTATTATACATATTTTGTTTCTTGTGTTTATATTATGTCTGTCTATTAGTCTGCAGAAATTATAACCTAGCTAGCTTGCCCATAAGTTTTAAGTGGGATGGGCTATACAAATGGCTTCCACATTTTATAGGTTTATTTCTTGTGACAATTAAGACCTTTTATTTGGGTACCATTAATTTTTACCTCTGATCGCTTGACCTAGGATACACATTTTTACAAGAAAAATACCAAACTTTAAACTCTGCCTAAATTTTGATCAGTAGGTGCTAGGGCTTTCATGCTTAACATGTGTATTCATTGTGAACTGTCAACAGGTATAAATATGTTTGACCTTGATCCTAGAGTTTGAACCACTTAAACAAAAAAATTAACCTTGGCAATTAACTTTTGAACAGGAATTACTAGGGATTTCTTTATTTCACATGTGCATTCCTTGTGACAAGACTTTCTTCTGATACTAACAATTTGAACCCTTTGTCCTTGACCTTTGAGTTTGACATATATTTGAGAAACTTCAACCTTCGCCATAGGCTTCCATACAGGGACATCAGTGTTTCACAAACACATCTTATCTTCATTATTATTTGGTGGTGTCTCCATATGAGGGAAAAATTCCCAAGAGAGATGTATTCACAACAAACAAACAAATTACTAAAGAAAATATAAAACATGAATATGTTGGTCATGCATATCTCTGCATGAAAAAAACAGCTTTTCAAATACTGCAACCATATTGTAACCCTTTCAAAACACTCATTTGAGCTTTTGGTTTCCTTAGCATATAACGTCTGTCGTGAAGTGTTGTCCATCTGTTTGTCTGAAAACTTTTTACATTTTTAACTTCTCTAGAACCACTGGGCCAATTTTACCCAATTCATGTAGAAATATGTACATTTGTATGTCAGACTGTCCATCTGTCTCAATAAATTTAACCTTGGTCATCACAGTCATATCTACTGAATGAGAAGAGACATTCATATTAAACTTATGTATTAGTATTTACCTGTGAGAATGGCATGGGTTTTTTTTTTTTACATGTGACCTAGAAGTTTGACCTACTTGCAAAAAAATTAAACTGTTATAAATTCATCATTTTGAAAGAGAAAAGTTAGGGCATTCATATCATAATGCATGTATATTATTACCTGTGATAAGACCTTTCCAAATAAATCATGACTTTTACTCTGTGACATTGACCTTGAAGCGATCAAGCCTTACCTACTTTTAAAAAATGTTGCATTTGCTTATAACTTTTGATTGAGATGAGATATGACTCTCACATTTGACATGTACATTAATTACTCATAAGAATTCAAGGTGTTTCCCAGCATGCGATGCTTTTTTACCCCTTGACGTTGATGTTTTACATAATTTTCAAAATATTTAACTCTCCTAAAAGATGATTAGGCTTCTGAGTAACATTAAGGAAGACTTCAGGGAAGACAGGGCTTTTTGCACAAAAAACGTCATTTTTCGACCCACATTTGATCCCCTGGGGCAAAATCTAAATTCCAAAACCTTACTGCACATCTACCTGACACCACCAACCATCTCCCAAAAGATGATTAGGCTACTGTGTAAAATGTAGGAGAAGTTCAGGGAAGACGGGGCTTTTTGCATAAAAAACATCATTTTTTGACCCCCATTTGACCCCCTGGGGCAAGATCAAACTTCCGAAACCTTACTGCACATGTACATGACACCACCAACCATCTCCCAAAAGGTGATTAGGCTGCTGAGTAAAATGTAAGAGGAGTTCAGAGAAGACGGGGCTTTTTGCATAAAAAACATCATTTTTCGACCCCCATTTGACCCCCCGGGTAAAATCAAAATTCCAAAACCTTACTGCACATCTACATGACCCCACCAACCATCTCCCAAAAGATGATTAGGCTGCTGAGTAAAATGCAAGAGGAGTTCAGGGAAAACAGGGCTTTTTGTATAAAAAACGTTATTTTTCGACCCCCATTTGACCCCCTGGGGCAAAATCAAAATTCCGAAACCTTACTGCACATCTACATGACACCACTAATCATCCCCCAGAAGATGATTAGGCTGCTAAGTAAAATGTAAGAGGAGTTCAGGGAAGATGGGGCTTTTTGCATAAAAAACGTCATTTTTCGACCCCCATTTGACCCCCCGGGGCAAAATCAAAATTCCGAAACCTTACTGCACATCTACATGACACCACCAATCATCCCCCAAAAGGTGATTAGGCTGCTGAGTAAAATGTAGAAGGAGTTCAGGGAAGACGGGACTTTTTGCACAAAAAACGTCATTTTTCGACCCCCATTTGACCCCCCGGGGCAAAATCAAAATTCCGAAACCCTACTGCACATCTACATGACACCACCAACCATCTCCCAAAAGATGATTAAGCTACTGTGTAAAATGTAGAAGGAGTTCAGGGAAGAAAAGTGTGACAGACGGACGGACGGACGGACATGAGTAACAACAATATACCCGAACTTTCTTTAGAAAGTGCGGGTATAATTATGTATCTCAGTGTTGACTACTTAAATGCCACATTATACTATCATCAGACTTAACTGTATTTGGAGTAGCATTTTGAAAGTATTTCATAGAAATTTCTATTTTTAGTAACCATGGCGAAACAGTTCATCGAAATAAAAAAAAAACCGATACACAGAATTATGTATCTTAGAGTGGTTTACTTGTGTGCCAAGTTATACTGAAATGAAACTAAAACTGTAAGTGGAGTAGCATTTTGAAAGAACATCACAAAAAGTTCTCTTTATAGTAACCGGGGCAACACGGTGACCGTTCTTGGAAATAAAAAAAACCGATACACAGAATTATGTATCTTGTGTTCCCAGTTATATTGAAATCAGATTAAAACTGTTGTAGGGGTATCATTTTGAAAAGCTGTAGGAGGAGTAGCTATTTTGAAATTTTAAATTTTGAAAAATTGTTTACAGACAGCTAGACGGACGGACGACGGATGCATTACTATCGCATAAGCTCTTCTAGTCTTTAATCAATAGAGCTAAAACATACTGATAGAGAGCAATATAAATGGCATTTTGGCATTACTTTTTTATTTTCAGATTCAGTAAGAATTGTAAATGGAAGTTCTCAATATGAAGGCAGAGTTGAAGTTCTAATAAATGATGAATGGCGAACCTTGTGTGACCGATATTGGGATAAAAATGATGCTGCTGTGACTTGTAAAAGTTTAGGATATTCAAGGTACAAGGTTTTAGCAATATGAGCTGCACCTTTTATGTCGGAATTTTTTATTGCAAAATTGAAAATAACTATTACAATGACAGAAAAAAAGAATGTTTATAAACTTCTGTTGTTCATATTTGCGATGTAAGAAGTATTTATGAGCTTTGATTGAATCAAAATTGCATTATTGCCGTCCTGTATAAAAATGATTTCTTATATAATACTGTATATTCGATAAAATAGAAATCTTTCTTCTTAAACAATTAAATGCTTTATTTTAGTCTCATTGATCATAAAGGATTAACCTAGTTACACACAAATTTATCCTAATAACGCATTTTAACAGCAAAAAAAATTTTCAAAAATGCAGCTCATATTGCTTTAACCTGAAGTGTAGAATGTTCTTGTCATAAAACATAACAAAGAATGATTTTTCATTAACACATACGATTGTATTCGTGGTCGGGATGTTCGGGTTCGATTCTTGTTCACGGCGCCGTGCGTCATACCTTAGACGTAAACATAAGTGGTGACTGTTTCTTCGCCAAGCGCGCGGCACTAGAAGTGAAAGTCACGGGTCTTTCCGATAGGACCTTAAAAACGTAGATCCCGTGTCACGGTAGGCGCTAACACAATAAAATCCCTATAGGTCAAAATTTGAAACCCTTCACCGGCATACGGTGACGTCTCCATATGAGTGAAAAATTCTCGAGAGAGACGTTAAACAATATTCAATCAATTAATCAAACTCAATATCATGGTAAATGTTCCAACATTAAATCACTTGTCGCAATTACATTTCAGGGGTCTCCCGGCCTTCTCTTCATTGTTTGGAGAAGGAAACAAAGAGACTTGGTGGTTGGACAGAATTTATTGTAATGGATATGAAAATTCCTTGGTGGAGTGTCAACAATCCGTAATTAGCTCCAAAACTTGTAATTACGATAGAAACGCCGGAGTTGTTTGTCTCAGCACAGGATTTGGTTGGTTTATATATTATTTATTTTCCCCATAACTTATTATTTAAGATGTGTCATCTGGCGCATTCTACTGACCTCTTAATATTTGTTTTTGGTCGTCGTCGCATATTGTCTTTCATATACATGTGCTTTAACCAAGCCAGGAAGAGGGGTCAAAATTGTGAATTTTTATGGTAGCTGTATCTTGGAGCCTCAGAGTTGGAGTAAACAATATCAATTATCAAATCTAAGGATGTCTTCAAAATACATCTTTACTCTTTTACACAAAATAGCCAATGTGGTATGACTTTATCAAACAATGAGTTATTCAGCAGAATTATGTAATTCATGGTTCTCTAGACAGGAATATGCTCTATTGTTCATAAAAACACAATACAAATCCTTTTCTCTGCTCTGGGTATTAGGAAAGATATGTCTCCCCGTGTAAATTATAGTCCAGTCAATGAACGACAGAATTTGCAAAACCTAAAACAAATTGCAAAAGAATGTTTAACACTATATTTTGTTCACATATTAAGTAATTATTGCAGGGGAAAAAGTCGCAATTTGTATATCATGGGGAAAGTGGTTTTTATGGATCTTAAAATGTAATATTGGTGTCACCGATCGCGAGAAAATGTCACATAAATGATGGACATATAGGAAAGTTGTGCTCTTTGAAACTGATCTAATGTGATGAAACAAAACGTGGTGTAGGTTTATAAGCTTACAGACTTTTAGTAAAATCCAATACAACTTTATTTTTATTCAAATCTAGACAATTTAGAATATTGAGATATGACCTTTTTGCACTCCATAAACAAAGTAACGTGTTTTAAAGTTCAACAATTTATACACCGTTTTTACAATATAATAGGGTACAGATATAGGCCTGAATGATGCTGTTAAAATTTGTAAATCTTTCAATTTCAGATAAAAGTACTACCAGCATAATTATCAAAATTATAAAATAGTAAATGACATTATATACTTGGTGTCTAAATACCGCGAAAATAAATGGTTTTACGTAATACAGAAGAATGAATTATTTGTAATCGGAGTGAAAATGTAAATAAGAAATTCAATATTTAACAAATTACAGTATCTGTTTGGATTTAATAAACCCTTAAATTATATAATTAGTGGATATATAAAGAAACAGTTATCTTTCCATCTGCGGGGGGAGGGGGGGGGACTTTCATTTACTGTATATTCAGTGCTTTTAAATATATTTGCGATCAGTTTGAATCCGAAAAAAGAAAACACGCAAAGAATAAATGCATGACTGTACAAATTATATATAAATATTTTAATATTTTCTTTTAAAGACGGATATACGGTAGCGATGTTTTAAGTCCATAAAAAAGAAATATTCGTAACTTGTGTAAGTATTTTTAAAATTCAGAAAAACAGCATACTATAAATAACATTTGAGAATTTTATAAATTATTAAAACATACTAAAGTCTGTGATATTAAAAATATTGAATATTGACAATGCGACATTCTACTATGCGGTATTTTCCTTTGGTTATCTCTGACCAAAAAAAAAATCAAAATAAGCTTTCAAATGTGATGCAACATCAATGCTAGTTCCAGAGGGGTGGGGGTTTGTTGGTTCCGGTGGTTGAACCTCCCCCTTACTCTTGCAGAGAGAGAGAGAAGGAGAGTTTTTTTATGTAACAAAGATATTTTACGTCTAATATTTTGAATGAAATAAGCATAAAGTAACTGTACATGTTGTTCAAACTCTGTTCATTCTGCTCGCAAAAGAATAAAGTTTTCCAGTTTTGCTTTCCTCCGTAAAACTGGGTACTACTATCAACACGTATCATGAAAGAAGTGAAAGATTCAGGCCACCCATTCTCAATATAAGGGCTCAAATAATGTCGCCTCATTTTCATTTAGAAGAAATACCACTGATGTAATTTTTAAATCAACATTATAAATAGTCATATAACAATGAATAAGAATTCATATAATTATCGATCTGAAAGGGTATTTAAGGAGTTCCAAATTCAAATATAGTAGCCTATTTGAAATGTACGTTACTGTCGTCGAGGCAAATATTATGCTGAATCCCCTCTGTGTAATATATAGTTTTGATTCTCAAGTAAAAATTTTCTGATAAGTTAAACCTTGTATGATATATATTTCTTTTGCATAACAATAAATACATTTTCTTTGTGATAAGAAATAATTTTTATTGTGCAATGTCCCTGTCGCTTAATTCTATTTCAACCACATTACAAGCAAACACAAAGGTTATACACCTGATAGTTTTTTTCTCCTTTATTTATTGATGGGCTAAATTTGAAATTTCAAAGGATTAATTACTCCTACTTAGATAATGTAACATGAAATTGAACAATTTGAGCAACTTTTATAAATATGTTTACGGAATGGAAGACATTTTCAATCGTAGAGATAAGAAAGAAATGTACGTTACCTATATTCTTCCATTAAGAATATATATTAAGTAGAAAATACGAGAAGACTCTGAATAAGCAACCCCTTGTATCCTTTAAACTGGCAAAGACGTTTTGCTCAACACAATTAAAAATTATTTTTTACATGAAAAGTGATCATTTGAAATGTACGTTACTGAAATGTACGTTACCATGAAATTCGAATAAGTGAATCTCCCACGAATTTTCATGTATTTTCATACTTTCACACACTCGAATGTGTACACAAAGGAAAGTTTCAAAGGTTGGAGGTCGGCTAAATCCCAAAATTAATGAAAAGAAACGTTTCTGCTGAAGAAAAAAAATTATTAAGGTCAATTTTATGTAATATAATTTTGATACCTGGTATATATTCTGGTATATATTTCTGAATACGAAACCTGCATGATGCATTTCTTATGATATGCAAGTTCAAACAGTATCAATATACCGGTATTGCGTGTCTAACGTACGCTTGTGGAACAGAATTGATTTTAATATTTGAAATGTACGTTACGTATGGTAACGTACATTTTGCATATTTCTAACTGACATTTTCTTTATTTAGTCAATGAATTGCGTTTACACGAGCGAAACAAAATTATCGTTACAATCCATTTGACAACTGCCCACATAAATCCATCTAAATGCATCCCCAATCCTCGTAAATGTGGTAGACTGTTACCACATGCTAGAAAATTTATTTTTAAGTGTCTTAAATTCATCTTTGGCAACCTTTTTGCATTTTGTTTACTTTTAATATGCGACTTTTCGTCAATATTAATTTAATTGTTGTTGATAATTTAAAACAAGGTATGCATAGGCTTATGATTGGTAAAAAAAAAAAAAAAAAAAAAAAAAAAAAAAAAAGAAACAAAAAAGAAAACAAATAAACCCAGAACACAAGACGGTCACGTACATTTCAAATACTGAAAGGCACACTATACTCAGTTTTGTTTGAATCATTGCATTTTGGGTTATATTTTTCCAGATCTGCTGAAAAGCACGTATGTTTGTGTTCTGACAAACGATGTTGCAACATACTAAATGAATTTGTTAACAAGACTGTCGATGGATGTATTCGGAATAGATTTATGTTAAGATTCAATGGCCAAACACGAGCATTTGTTAGATCATAGCAAAATACGTCTGACTCTTATTCTTTTTGTCTGTACCCTTGCACACAGGTAGAAGTAACTAGGCTACGACCGGTGTCAATTTCAGCAAAACAGCACAAAAGAATGGTAATGATCTGAGGTGGAGGGGACTCCCCAATAATATGTGAAATGAACGTTACCGAAGTGACGTGACATTCATGTACTTGATGACAATAACCTCGTTTGTTACAATATGATTTCTTATATTACTGCGTTAAAACGCTTCATTGAAATGATTTTTATGTCAATAATTGCTTTTTTTCAATATTTTCTTATTACTAATTTACATATCATTACAAGCTTGAAATGTACGTTACCTACTCATATTCTGAGGCAATCGTGTCTTCATAGTGGTGATTGTGACATATAACACAATGTGATTACACAGAGAATCTTTTTTTGGAATAAACTGAAACAAAACGATGAATTTTTATATGAATTTTAAGCTTTTTATTAAACAGAAATATATCTTGAAATGTACGTTACATTTACGTAGTTTTCTAGATCGGCATGGATATATGTTAAAAAAGACAGTAACTACAAAATAGAATTTTACTACATGTACATGTTGTTCCATTATCTATAGAAAATGACAAGATTCCAAACTGATCGCTCTAAACAAAACAGAGAGAAGAGTTTAAAGCATATATTAAAAAAAAAATGTTTTTATACATCTGGATCAAAAAGTAACCTTTGTTTTTTGAAAGGAAAAATCAAACCCTCTACTTTACCGTCTTGTCATTATTTCATGTATTAAAATTTGATGAAAAAAGATCTGGAAACAAAATCTTCAGATACTTTCTTTCAAAGGTAATTGATAGAAAAATTGTTATCTTGAACTTCATTTTTTAAAAAATCAGAGAGGCATTTGTGCCCTTATATTGAGAATGGGTGAGGCAAATCTTAGCTATATATCTATATGCCATTTCTAAATAATCTTCATAAAATGTCATGAAAGGGATTATGCAGAAGAATATATTTCTCTCCATGTATCACAGATTTGATTTGGACTGATGTTTTCTATGCTTCTTATTGTCAGAAAAAAAAAGCCAAACGCAAGCATTCGAAAGAAAAATGTTCTGAAAGGTTAGAGCGCCCCTCCCTTTTAAATAGAAATAGAAATAAAGCGGGTGTTTGAGTTTTGGTTTTATTTATTTGTTTGGTGGTGGTGCTTTGTTTTTTTTTTTTTTACGTCAACTCTTTGGAAGCCCCCCCCCCCCCTGAAAACTGTTGCCAGGCTTGAAGGGCCTGTTGTGTGATTCTATGCAATAGCATTGAGGCACTGTAGCACCTCCCCTCCCTTTTAAAAATTGCTGGATCTGTCCATGCAACCACTTAATATTATAGCCAATATTTAAAATTTCATAATAAACAAACTAAAGTATTCAAAAAGTGAAATCTTGAGATCGTATAAAACTTTC